CTTGGGTTTTCAAAGTTGAAAAGGTTTCTTTGATCCATGGGAGGCATTGGTATGCCCGCTTTTGCAGTTGATCTACCAAGTCCTGCTGCTTGAAGTGTGGCTAGACTTTGTGCAGGGAGCTTTCCAGAAGCAGCTAGAGTTTGAATATCAGTAATTGAAGATAATGACCCGAAAGTTGCATCTTGTTGGTTGAGGAAGGAGTTGTTCGGATGCTGAGAAACTCCACTAACCCTTCGAAGATACAGACGGTATTTCTGAAACAAACAAAATGAAAAATCAGCTCCTTATTATATATGACATGACATGAACTTTGGATTCCGACGACATAAAAGCTATAGTGGTTTTGGTTGGATAGCAAGTACATAATAGAATCATACCTGGAGATGGCTGGCTACATTTTCTCTAGTGAGTCCAGGAACATTCATCAATTCCAGAATTTTTTTTGGAACAGCCTCTGTTTATAGATATAAAATTTGAACATTAGAGGAGGTCTAGATATTCTCGATGGACAACAAGTGAACACCATATCACAGAAACAAAGTACTATTTTCGAGAAGGTCACAATTATAAAATTTATTTATGTTAAATGCTGAATATTCCGTGGAGACAGGAATGGCAAATTGGATGAGTGAACATTCAGGATAGTTATTAAAAAAAGTCACCTAAGAATAAAATAACTAAGAAAACTACAGAAAACTCTAAATGGTTTAGAGAAAATTACCAGTCTGATATAGTTTGCACACTGATTTTCATATGGGTAAACAATCTATATATAGACCTAGACGCAATGATCCCAAATACTTGTGACTAACTATTGAAGATGCAGACAGCAAAAGTCTTGATTTGAGGCATTTACAACTCACGTATGAAAATTACACTACCAATATTATGAATGAGAAAAGTACTGTCAACATATATACTGTGCAATAAGGAAAGTCTTAGAAAATAGTTACTGTCAACTCCCAATTGATCCACAGCAGCCACAAACTGTTGATGGAGATCAACAGACCAAACCACCCGAGGCTTCTTTAACGCGGATGTGTCATCTCTCTCGTCTGCATCTTCATCCTCATCCCTCTTTTTCTTCGAACTTCTCCAACTACCTTCATTCGCAGCAGATGAGTAATCGGCATCTTCAGATGGCTTCTTCTGTTGATCTCCTTCTTCAGCACTACCGGATTGCTCATTGTCTCTCCACTCATTCGTTTTCTTCCGAATGACATGTTGCCACACATTCTTCAGAGAATGTATGTGAACAGGTTTAATGAGGTAATCACAGGCACCATGTGTTACACCCTTCATAACAACATTTTTACTATCATCCGCGGACATCACTACAATGTTTTTTCGAGCAGAAATTATCACTCTCAAATCAATAATACTTCACTGCATGGATCAAAACTTATGAATCAAGTACTTACTGATAACAGGAAGGTCCATTTCCAACCCAATTTGCTCTAAAAGCTTAAATCCATCCATATCTGGCATATGAACATCGCTAATAACAATGTCAAAACCATTCCTATTCTCCCTTAGAAGTGTGAGTGCAATCTCTGCTCTGTTGCACTTAGTAACTACAATGGGTTCACTAAAATCATTACACAACACAAAACAACTCAACAAAGATTTGAAAACAGAACTACAACAAAGGCAATAGATTCATGGTATAAGAAACCAAGTCAAAACCTACTAAAGTTCATCAAAGAAAACAAAAAAATAATGGGTATAAAGAAACTGAAGAGAGAGAAATAGGGAAACTGATAAAGTCTATTTTTTTGGGTTCGGTTTTATGAACGAAATTAGCGATGAAATAGGTGAAATGAAACTGAAGAGAAAAAGATGGAAACAGATTCAGTGAGAGATACCTTGATAGAGACAAGTACGTAGCATTTTCTCAACGATCATTAGACACGTGTGATCATCATCCACCACCATAACCCGAAGACCCGCCGGAAAATTGTCGTCGACGGCGGAACTTGACCGTTTTCCGTTGCTAAGATTCATAGTTCACTCATGTAATGGTGTTCTTCACATTGTTGAATTCAGTCTTGAACAAAAATGATTACAAAGACCAATAAAGATAAATCGTTTTTTGGGGATTAAATTTTTATAAATCAAATTGGTTATGCGCTTCAAGCTTATATATTCTTTGATGATTTTAAAGATTAATGGTTCTGTTTTTTTTAATGTGGTATTCTAGTACTAACGACACTTCAAAGCAGAAAGGTTTAGGATTTTACCGCGCTAATCTAATATTTATGCAACGGACACTTCACTCTACACTTTTGTATGTGTTTACTTTTCTATTTATTGTAAAATATTTATCGTTCATATCATAAATTCTCCCCTCACATTTTAGAATATAAAAACCACGATTATCCATTTGGTCAATGTGTACGATATAAGTTGGGAAGTAAGTCTCACGTCGCCTACTTCATTGTTTTGGAAATGATTTAAATAGTTGTTACACTACTTCTTTTATTATTAATTGGTTTTGAGATAAAACTAAATCATGTAAAGTGATGCAACTTATTTCATTGACAACTTTTTCAGCATTTAGTTTAACATAGTGCTTCTGTGCCCAAATGCACGTTGTCAAATATGTAGTAATAAAGTAGTGTTTTCATTCCAATCTCAAGCAATGGTTTCCACTTTGAATCATGTAAATTTTTGTGTTTTTCAGAATGATCTCTAAAATAATATTCAAATATCACCATCGTGAGCCAAAATAATTATTATTTGGGGTTATATAAAGGGTAAAAGAAATAATTTGATATTTTTAGGAGGATGATAAAAATAAAATGTTAACAAAATCAACAAAATGGGTAATGAGTTCAAAAACTTTTTGATTATGAATGTTAAAAGCTCTACTTTTGAAGAAACTCCAGTTCAATCCAACTAACTTGTATTTTTTCAGTGTGCTCTGACTCACTCTAATTTAGTTCTTTAATAAAAATAAAATTAGTTTTTGTTCATCAACCCACTCCCTGAAATGACACGTGTCCTTTGGGCCACTTCCATCGGATAAGGTCTCCTCGGCTTACATTGAATCTCTTTCAATTGGACATGGATATGATCATATGATTTAAAAATAAAAATATGTATAAAATAATAATAAATAAAATGGAAAAAAATGTATACGCTAAGATGTAAGAGTTTTAAAAGTGACACAAAAGAATAATTGATAATATAATGATTATGTATAAATCTTTACATTGATAATACATAAATATTAATAAAATGAACGTATATCTAATAAAAAAAAACATCAATATGCAAGGCTTTGCAGCCAAAAGGTAAGCTGGATATATAAATGAAGAAGCTTCAATTTGTTTGCGCGTTTCTCACAAAACATGTGAAGTCCATATTCATTATGCAAACATAAACATAGGTCTAAAAACATAAAAATGGGTATCATATTACTCATATTTGTTTGAGGAGGGAGGAAGAAATACACACAACATGATCTAACAAATACTATTGTTATTATATATTAGCGTTATGACATGCTGGATGTCAATCCGCTTTCCTATTATTTGTAATGTGTACTTTATATAAAATAAATGTCTAATGTAATAAATTGTGTTATATATTGCAATTTGTAGTTTAATATATTTGATTAAGGTACATGCATATTCAATCTTAGTGTTTTGTTCAACTACAAATTACAATATATAACACAATTTATTATATTAGACATTTATTATATGTAAAGTACACATTACAAACTATATGAAAACGGATTGACAAACAAAATAATAGCGGTCAAGTATGTTAGTCATTGATTAAAGCAAAATGTTTCTTTTAAAAAATGTACTACGACATAAGCATTTTCACATTCCAATTAAACTTCTCCGGTTAACATGCATAATTCAAAATAATTGGAAAATGGATGAGTGGATAGTAAGATAAAAATGTAAGAACATTTTTATTGAATGTGCGAAAATGATCTTTGGCAAATGTAAGTTTTCTTCAATATTGCACATTCAATATGCGGCACATTCAATATTGGAAGTTTGTTTTCAAAATAACAGGTAGAAGAGAGTTTTGTGGAAGTTTGTTTCTCCTTTGTTGAGCGAAAACATATTTGAGATTCTAAAAATATAAAGAACATGAAGCATCTTAACAATGTTCTAACCATTAGATTTATGAGTCATGAATATAACCAAAATAAAATAGAACAACCTCATAAACCTTAACAAACCAGCGAGAAGATACTTCCAATTCTTGGTAAGGAGGTTGATTTCTGTTGTTATCCCTACACAAAACTCATTTAATAGTTATACATCAAATCATTCAAATATTTATTACAATTATTTATAAAACAAAAATGTTGTTACGAATAACAAATTATAGCAAACATTGAAAATGGTGAAAAAAATAACCTTAGAAGCCTCACTGCCAATATAAAACATGTTCTTTGTTGTTGATAATAATGTTGTTGTTGTAACCGTGATAAACCGCTTCCATGTTACTTCATAACAATAGTTTTATTAAGGACTTGAAGGTGAACATTGTCATTGCCCCCGAAAAAACACAACAACTATTGCATACAAAACCATATAGGAATCAATGCCTCTTCCACTTTCCCGCTATAAAAAATTAATTTTTTTTGAAAAATCACACCAAAAAAGAAGAGGATCTAAACAAATAAAGTGGAACCCATAAGGAATGGAGAGAACCTAGAAGATGGAGAAACAAAAGGGGTTCTCTGAAATGGAAGACAATTTACTTCTCATCCACCTTCTATATGCAAAATGGAAAACTACCATTGGAAAATACATTGAATGAGAGTAAAATTAAAAATGATTAAGTTAATTCACTTTCCACGTTACTTCAAAATGAAAAAATTGCACCTTACAAAAAAAAACTGCTCCAATTATATAACATGAAATGAAAATAGAATAGAGGTTTAATAACTACTACAACAATTACAAAAAGATACATTAAAAGTTATATAAATATGGAATTATAAATGGTAAAATAGAAATTACCTATAGTGCTCTCGTTGATAGTTGAACTAAAGACCTCCCACTTACAAAACAAGTGCTTTAACCAACTAAGCTACGAGAGCTATGCTTTAGTTTTTCATCTGCCTCTCTTATTATTATTGAAGTTAACTTGTTATTGAAACTGTAGCTTGTTTACTGATTGAATTATTAGGAGCAGGAGCTGTGAACATAAAATAGAAGTGTTAAGTGCATTCACATCGATTAAGTGGCAGTAGTTGTATACTTGTATATAAGAGTAATATTTATCCATGACTCATTTATCACCCCTATCTTCATGGCCATATCATCCTTATTACTTGTCTTATTGTGCATGTAGATGTACCATGTCACCATTCCCCCATTTTCCATTTCCTTCCTATTACACTAAAGTATAATCATACCCTCATGTTTCTTACTAATCAAACTTTATAAGATAATGTAAAAATATTAATTTTTGTTTTTATAATTTATTTAATTAAGTGATACTTTTTAATTTGATGAGAATAAAAAGTGGAACAAAAATGAAGCCATATGATTTCCATTTTATCAATTGTTCTGACTTGTGATGTACAAATTTCCTATTGACAAGAGGGAAAAAGTATTTTGTACGACAATAATAAATTATATTGAAATAATTGTAATTTCTTTTGTATTAATTTATTGATAAGTTAGATACAAACACATGAAATTTCACAAGAGAATAAAAGAGCACTTATTTATTCATTACATTGGAAGCAAACATAAGCACAAATTGAACAGCATGGAACTATAAACTCTATTAAATGCTCTTCACGCATAATTGATACACTTCAGTTGTACTCATGATTGGCCAAAACATAAGCCTGAATGGCCTTGAATAGTTGACGATTACAAAGAATATTTGCTTAATTGGTTTTGGTGATTTATTGTTTCAATAAAATAACCAATTTAGTATTATTCTATTAGTGGTTTTGATGTTGTATTTGAATAAAAATATAACATGCTTAAAAATTATTAAAGGAAATACAAATATGTAACAACTCAAATAATAATTATAATAGACAAAGTTTTTTCATATATATTTGCATGTATCATATGGAGAACATATGTAGAATAATATATTAATCCTTAATGAAAGTGAGCTTCTTGATGGTTTCAGGGAACCATTATATTTAATGGTTTCATGGTAGAGGTTGATTCGTTCTTAAATGTAAAAACACCCATGTTGAGAAATTAATTAGCAAAAGGAGGAAGAATAATGCGTGAATATATGAGAAGATGTTAAAATAAGTCTTCTTTCCTTCTTATTTCCACCCTGCTAAAATTTATTAGAGAAAATTATTCTTAATACTTTTGAATACAAGATATAATTGTTTCAAGTCTTTTTCACATATAAAATATTTTTTAGACATATAAGAATTGTTTAAGTCTTTTTCACATATAAAAAGTTTTTTAGACATCTTAAATCCTTATATGGTAACATAACTATGTGAGTATAGCTCTCTGCTCTTGTATATATTAATATATACAACAAATTAGTTTCTTATTTTCAAATAACATTAATTCTTCTCACATTGTAGTTATTTTCACGTTGTTCTTATAAGAAAAACTCAAATTCCCAATATCTCATATTTCTACATGTCTAACTTAAACATGGTTTTAGATATACGTAATAAAATAAAATATATAAATCTTTTAAACAATTACATTTCTACTAAGACGGTATTTGTAATTTATTTTGTATTAATTTATTGAAGAAGTAAGATACAAACTCACGAAAATCTCACACTTTTTGCATAAAGAGAAAATAGAAGAGCACTTATTAACCATTACATGGGAAGCAAACTTAAAAGCACAAACTGGATAGATAACATGAAAGAAAACATTATATAAGGAAGCTCTTCTTCAGTGATAGAACAGAGTTGAGTTTAGTTGTATTCAGGATGAGCAGAAAGGTAATTCTCAATGGCCTTGAAAAAAGCATCACCTCTTACCTTAGCAGCCTTACCCTCTTCCTCATTAGGTTTAGCATCTCCTTTGGTTTCAATCTTAATAGTAACCTTTCCAATTGATCCTCCATTCACTCCTTCTACCAATTTTGTCTCAAAAGTTATCTTTTCCACTGTGTCTGGTAATCCAACTCCACCAACTATGCTGTAGTTATATCCCAAGTTTGCCTCATCAATTTCTTCTATTTTGTGTAACACATACTTGGTTTCACCACCTATCAAATATAATTAAACCATGTTCTATAAATGTTTGTTTTTTTGGAAATAAAAATTCAGGGTGCATAAAAATAGCATCACAAACACTAATAGAAAAGTAAAAAATTTCATGTATAATGATATGCTGCACATATATTTTATGTATTTGAAGATATATAGAATAGTAAATACTAACCCTCAATCAAAGTAAGTTTCTTAATGGTTCCAGGGCCACCATTACCCTCAACGGTTTCAACACTCTGGATGGCTTCAACAGCCTTTGGGATAATGGTGTCAGCATCTTTTACCAAAGCTTTGTAAAGCCTAGCAGGAGCCACAGTAGAGGTAGATTCATCCTCAAATGTAAAAATACCCATACTTTGAAATTAATTAGGAAAAGGAGAAAGAATAATGAAAGGATATATGAGAAGAAGATGTTAGAAGTGTTGCTGTGTGATTTATGAGAAAGGGAGTACCATGTATTTATAGGCACTAGTGTCACCTTTGCTTAATTTTATGGGCCTCCTCTCCTTTTCACCTTTGTACAAGTAGGATTAAAATAGAGACATGGTAGTTCACAAATCTGGTGAGATGCACATTTAAAAGTATAAGGTACGTATGAATGGAATATGTATTTTTTTACAATACTAAATATAAAAAATGCATTCAGTGTCTTGAAATTATAAGTAGCTTTAAACCTTTTATTTAGTAAGAGGATTTTAAATTATTCCTGTAAAAATATTTAGGACAATAATTAAATTGTATATAATTTACTTTAGAAATGAATTTATATACATATGTGTGTGGCTGAAGTATTATATGTTTTAAGAATGTAATATATATATATATATATATATGTATTGTCAGTGTAAAGACTTATATATAATCACTACATTATTTATCATTCATTTGTATTTCTTTTATTTAAAAGTCAATGATGATTAAATATGAATATAAATGATACAATAAGGCAGTGATATATATATATATAATATATTATACTTCTTGTTTTAAAATAAGAATAAGATACCCATGATATTTTTTGACTTTATTATCATATTTTATACATTTGTTTGGACTTGAATAATTTCTTTAGAAAAATGTGTTTTCTCTCTAAAAAAAATTAGTTTATAAAGCCTCCTACACATATAAGAATGTGATTTGAATCAGATAATATTTTACTTATTAGTATTTAGTTTATATGTAATATGTATCATATATATATATATAATTCGATTTTAGAAGATTATATATCATTACTTACTTATCACTCATTTCTTTAATTTTACTTCAATTTTTTTTTCTTATTGGGCAACGAAAGAAGCTTTGTTGTCTTCATTATAGTATTCCTCTTCATGAATGGATTTTTAACATGTTAAAAATTTCATTACAAATATATTTATCACTTTTTTAAAAATATATATTTTCAAAGGAATGCTTATAATATGTATCAGATAATAATATATATTATATCACACACTAAAAAGAAATCGTTATGCTTTTGTCAAATATTGAGATTTTGAAGCATTCAAAGTCAAATAAGTTAAACACATTCATGATTCAACAATGGGGTGCAATTTGTGAAGGTTCAAAGTAGCTTCACAAATATGAATGATTGCGAGATGACTCAGAAAGTAATGCATGTGAAGCTTTCGAATGTGTCGGCATCAAATGTGGACAAAATTTTGCAGACGCCCTTCTAGAATATAGACTAGAGGTATCAAATATTTTTTTTATTTCATTTTCATATGGTTTAGTTGTTTAAGTTATATATCATTTTATAGCCGAGTTATAAATTTATGTGAAAAGTATTGATCGGTTTTATTTTTTTATCATTTGGATCGTTACTATAAACTAAACTAATATTAGCATTTAAATCATATCAATAATGGGTCATTACAAGTATGTTAATGATCAATGATTTAAATATGTGAGGAGTACCAACAACTTAATTTAGTGGTATAAGGGTCCGCTAGATCCTATAAATATTAAAAAATTAAAAATTTGTTTTTATTAACGACACTTTTTATTAGGAACACTGAATAAATAAGAGAAACTATTGATAGTACTAGAAAATAGGTAAGCATTAGATTGTTTGGTAAAGAGGGTATTGATTTGAATATTTGTTATACTAGTTTCCTTTCTTTTTTTAAGGATCTTTGTAATTATTTTACACTATCCATACAATTTAACTATTCTTTTCTGTTAATAATGAGTTCCTCCAATCGTGTAATTTTTATTGGATGAAATAAAAATAGTTAATTTTATAGGAGCGTGACTCCATAGTGGAACAAACTTTCTTTAAAATATATTTGGGTGGACCAAAATTTCTAAATATTCTAATAAGAATAATTTTAAATACTCTTAATAATGAGTCCACTTAGTAGATAATTTCAAGACATTGAATGTGGTATATTTTATTAATATCGTAGAAAAATACAGCAAACCTTATTCATAGAAAATGATAATTCATACCGTATTCTAAGGGCGAAGGGATAAGGCGAGCACGTACCCACGTGGTGGGGCAAGTCCCCGAATATGTTTGAATTTTTTAATACATGATTATAATCTCACATCACCACATATATGTATAAATAAATTATATATTATATATCAACTTACAATGTAAATGATATATATCAGTACCTTCTCTCCTCGTCAAATTTAGTATGTAGTAGTGATAGATTTATTTCTTCTATATAACAGATATATCAATATAATATAATCAAGTGATATGTTAAAGAGTAGTTATCTCTAATTATGATCTTTCATAGAGTTTTGAATAGGGACGAGTCAGCCTGTTTTAATCGATATTTTTGGTGGGTCGAATTGGAGATTTTAGCCTAAAAGCTCATATTCAACCCGGTTTGGAAGCTCGTTTTTTAGACGGGTCATGGCGG